CGTTCACATGGTACTACGGCACTAAAGGAAGGGCAGCCCTCGCGGCATGCAGCAATCCGCTGCTTACGCAGATTAGAATGATTAGAAGTCGCCCCGCTCGGCTCCTGTCGCTCAACTATAGCGGCTCCTGATCTTGCAATTCGAACAAATGCGAACTTTCCGCAACTTCGCAAAGGTTGCGGCCCTCAACCCAAAGCAGGATCCCACAGAGCCTTCCGGATTGGCAACGCATGTAGGTATGTCTTTTTCCCTCTCGCTCTGCCGAGGCGGCGAGGTGACTATGGCCAACCGGCTCAGTATGTATGTCAATGTGTATGTGCATATATATATATATACATATGTATGTATGTATGTATGTATGTATGCATGTATGTATGTATGTACGTACGTACGTATGTATGTATGTACGCACGTACGTGTGTGTGTGTGCATACGTATATATGCATGTATGCATGTATGTATGTATGCATGCATGCATGTATGTATGTATGTACATACACACACACACACACACGCATGAATGTGCATGTTTGCGGTAACTGAACGACCTACGTATGCGTGGTTCCATATGTATAAATGTATGTGCGTATGCATGTACGAACAAAAACATCCAAAAGAGGAAGCAGCGGAGACAGACAAACAGACTTGTGGGCAGGCAGGCAGAAGAGAAAGTGAAAAGGTAACAAAAGCAGGAATAAGTTAAGCACAGCGAGAAACATGGATGATTCATTACAGCAGGTCGCATGTAACAGAAGAGAAAGAGAAAGGTAACAAAAGCAGGAATAAGTTAAGCACAGCGAGAAACATGGATGATTCATTACAGCAGGCCGCATGTAAATACAATGACATCCCATCCACACAATTATTCGGCAATGTGCAACTGCGTTGGAAGGAAAACAACACCTGAACTGTTGTTCGCAGTGCTCTTGCTCCTAGTACTACCATCAAACATCAGCCAAGCAGAACTGGCCTGAGGCCTGCTAGCATGCCAACACCCAGTGCAGGTGCACCAGGTTTTATTCTGCAGGGCGACCGGTGCCAAGGAACACCTCTGCCCTCCATACGTCACGCTGACCACTGTCGTTTGAACCGAAGCAGATCACTTCTCCGCTGGCGCAAACTGCACAAGTGTGCCCAGCACCAGCGCTCACGGCCACGACCGTCCCGAGGTCCCTTGGCACATTGCACTGGCCCTCTGTGTTGTCTCCGAAGCATTCAAGTTGCCCAGTGCGGGCACTCACGGCGCAGGTGTGTGCTGCACCGGCAGAGACGACCTTGACAGGTCCGAGGTCTTGTGGCACGTCGCATTGGCCATGCGTGTCATCTCCAAAGCAAACCAGTTCACCATTCGCCTTCACCGCGCAACTGTGTCCCGAGCCGGCCGAGGTCTGCACCACAACGCCAAGTGTCTCTGGTACGTTGCACTGGCCCTGCCGGTTGTCTCCGAAACACACCAGCCCGCCATTGGCCGTTACTGTGCAGGTATGAGCTGTGCCTGCCGACACCATCGCAACAGCCCCCAGATCCGAGGGCAGCAGAACCGGACCATCATCGCCGGAGCCAAAGCACGCCATCTGCCCATCCGTTTTAATTGCACAGGTGTGGTAGTTGCCGACCGCCACATCCAGGACCGCTCCGAGGCTTTCTGGCACATCGCACTGGCCATATTCGTTTTCCCCGAAACAGACCAACTGCCCACTTACCTGTACCGCGCATGTGTGGGACTTCCCTGTAGATACAGAAAGAACGGGCCCCAAGTCTGCAGGCACGCTGCACTGACCATACCTGTTGTTCCCGAAGCAGAACAACTGCCCCTGTGCACTGATCACACAGGTATGTCTCTCTCCAGCCTCTGCACCAGCTAAACTGTCGGAAACGGCTGCCTGCATCACGATGACCAGGCACGCGACGCTTCGCTGCTTCAGCCACCAACTGATGCCTTGCCTTTCTCACATGAAGACATGAAGAACAAATCAAACGAGAACCCCTATATAGCCTGTATAGTTTTTCTGATGCAGGCTTTCTCAAACTTTGCAGCCCCTTCTTGTGGGTCCTGGCAACAGGAATCCTACTATGCTCTCCCAAGATCCTAGACCAATGTCAACGATAACAACTAAAACCCCACCACACCGTAATATTAACACCCAACCACTCTCCCATCCACCGGCCTTCGCCAGAGACGAGGGCCACCAAAGCTGCCGCCTCCAAGTTTTCGCTTCTGGAAAAAACTATATGGGCTGCTATAAACGCTAGTATATGGGCCCTGGTAAGAGCTAGGACATGTGTGTTGTTATAAGAATAAACCATGTGTGCATGTTCCCAGTTTGCAGGAATAAAGTCGTGCGATTGTCAGTATGCTTGTGTGCTGTTGTGAAACCCCTCATAGGTAGGTTATACTGCAATGCTACCTTTTGAAAATAAAGTGGAAACTCACAGACACGCGCCAACTCAAAACATAAGGAAATCCCAATCCTAAATCCTTAGCAGCCTTAGCCCAAAACCCTACACCCAAACCCCAAATGCTAAATGCAAAAATTGGCTCGGGTCTGACACGATTTGGGTAGATTTAGCTTGTGGGCTCTTAAAAGCTGCCTGAATCATTGGCACTTCGGACTCCTTACTATAGTGAATACCTCCTTACTATACGTGTTAAGAGCTGTAAGGGCTGGTAGAAGGTTGGGCATAAGGATCATCGCGTTTACAATGATCGAGTCGTGGCCCCAACAGCTGGACAGGGTTTCGACTGTCACGACTCGCACAAGACAGGCAAGGCTAAGGGCTTTGGCTTTGCTTTTCCATCTGCTGTTACGAGTAGCAGACAGAAACCCCTCTATCAGCGCTTTTGGTTTAGGGCTAGACTAGGGCTTCTCACGGCCGAGGGCCTCCTCGCAGCAGTCGCCCTGGAGTAGGCCGGCCAAGGGAGCCCGCAGCCAAGCTCCAGCCGTGCCCAGTCATGCTGAGAAGCTCAAGGCTAGGAAACTGTGTCGACAGTGAAGGGTGCAAGGTTCCACTGCATTCTTGCCTCCCTTATAGCTAGGTCAGTGAAGATATGTGAAGACATTAGTGGTTAAATACTGTGCTGGGAATGTCCAGATCAACGTGAAGACATTCAAGCCTGGAACATTTGGGCCATGTCGAATGCAGAACCGGCGTTGCTAGAAAGAGTCGAAGAACTTCTCGACGGTCACAACAAGCCAAAGCTCCGGTGTCCTGTTGTCTTTAGCAGGGGGCCCCTGGAGGAGAGCGTGAACTCGCGTGGTACACTTGGTCGAACTGTTGAGGTAAAATCCCTGGCCAAGCGCCTGAGCGCGTGCACGCAGCGTACAACAATAGCACAATACAAGAATGCCGCCTAACCTGCCTCCAGAAAGAATCCCGTGCTCCATTAGTTGAAGGGTTATGGACCGATTTCCTGAGGTACGACCTGCCCCGTGCAAAGATGCAGATCTGGCCTGAAGCCGGTGGCACAAGCGGCCCACGGCGGCAATTGGGCAGGGATTCCGACGAAGTACAAGGCCGCGGGAGCTGATGTGGCTGCGGGCATGGCAGACTTGAAAGGCGAGACTGACGAGGCATCTCACTGGCCGCCCACACTATGATCATTAGGGATCGTCCCCCCACGCCACTGCAAGGCTTCCAGCAGAAGCTGAGGGCAGAGCCTTCTCCTGGAAGCGCAGGGTCGACTCGCCCACGAAGGCGATGCTCTCCATCTGTCCAGCGTGTGCTTGGGTACACTTACGTACATCTAGAGAGATGGATAGGGATAGAGGGGTGGATATCTTGCACTGGCTCATCTATCGAGCTTCTTCGTGTCGCTCTGCTTCGTTCTCCGCGCCTCTCTCGCTCTCTTTCTTTCGGCGGGGCTATGGGGAAGAGGGGAGATTCCCCCCTTGCCCTCTCGCTCTCTCTCTTTCTTTCGGCAGGGCTAGGGGCAGAGGGGTTTCCCCCGCTCTCTCTCTCTCTCTCTCTCTCTGAGATGGAACAAGAAATCACCCCCAAAAGGATGGGTCCCACAAAGGATGCCATGGGCCAGTTAGGGTGGTATGGCAGCAACAATCACACCGGGCATCTGTGCACTTAAAGTCTAAGAGTCCGACAGTAAGACACTGGCTGTCACATGCTGTCACCCATCCAAGTTCTCGCGGGCTGGTAGGCTGCATCTTGCTGCTTCTTTGCCTTCTTTGCGGATGCAACCGGAGCATCCGGTCTTTCTCGAGGCTTCTGTTGTGGACTTGTGCCACAAGGACAACTGCGGCATGCTTCAGCGCAGGTCGACGAGGCATGGGGCGTGAGTTTGAAACGGAGGGGAACAGAGCAGCCGGGAAGCTCTGCAGCGCTGCAGAGCTTCAGAAAAGCGCGACTGACGCATGGCGCTGCTCCCTCTTGCCCTATACTGTGCTCTACATTTCCCACGTCCGGCCCTGACGTAGACCGGTGCCGGGCGCCTGTGCATGCGTCCATCCAAAGAGACGCGTCAAAATAAGGCCAGCCAAAAGCCGGAGCCTCTCAAAAAACCGAGGTTGGTTTATGCTGTCTTCATATCATGACCCATGGACACAGGACTCATGACCCCAGCTCCCGAGAGGGCAGCCATGACTTCGCCAAGCAATATAAACTACGAGTACTGTAAAGTCGAACAACACTACATTGAAGCTGCATGCGATGGTTGGTCGCAGGGATCTCACGCGACAGCCATCGAAGGGCTGGTCCTCACAGACGACAGTCAAAGGTCTGCCTCGCAACTGTTTTCATGATCCATCGAACGGCTTCATGCTGTAACCTCTGGTCGATCTACAGCAGCCGGCACCACGATTTGAATGCTGTGGTGTTCGAAAACTTCGCTGCTCCTGATACACGACCATCAAGCCATGATGTCCACGGCGCGAGTGTCCGACGCGTCGTAGAAGAGAGGCCGCAAGTTCTCCTCGACCTTAGCTTCAAGCGTGCTTTTACCTTGCATGGGGCCATGCCGGCATGATGAGCTGGTTTCCACATGCGGCTCAGAGGACCAGCTCCTTGTTTGTCGGGGCCCGCAGGGTCAGCGTGATCTCCTGTAGACGGGGCGCTGGCGGAAACCGACAAAATCCGACGGATCTCTTTGGCTCCTGTATAAGGCTGGCATAATGAGCGAAGTTCTCGAAGAAGCCAATGCTCCTTGGCTGTGTCTTGAATCTCGGGGCCTGTGTAAGCCGGTGCTGCCAACTCCTTGCTTTCAGGCTCCCCTGCTCTGAAGCTATCACATATTCTGGCTTCTGCCTCTGCTCCCGCCAAAGACGCCTAGGGCCTGGCAGATTCTCGGACGGAGAAGCGCGAGTAAGAAGTTGGACAGAAAAGCTACGTACGGAACATCAAAAACACTGCATCCCAAGGCACAACTCAGCTCCAATGTTCAGGACATGGATGGTCACCGTGCGGCCACGGTGGGTGCCGAAGTAAGGGTTCTCGGCGGTGACAGCCTCGGAGGCAACAGTTGAAACGTGTTGAAACCTTCAGCTCTAAATCCTAAACCCTATAGCAGCTAGGGCCGTTGACATACCATCCTTTCCAAGCATACTGCAGGTCCATGTGTCCATGTCTTGCCTCCTTGTGGCCTGTGGTCATGCCCATCCAACCCCACCGGAAACCCGCCTGGAAGGAGCCGAAGGCAAACACTTTCAAATAGGTGCTTCCTGGCCGGCCGCAGAGCAAGTGCCTTGCGAAGCCTTTGGTGAGAAATGCCTCTCTGCATGCTGATACAGTCAGTCAACCGGCCGGCCAGCCAACCAGGCAGGTACTAGTGGGCAGACAGTCAGCCCGTCAGTCAGTCGTGCTTCCAGCATCATGTCATATCATATCCCAGCAGTACACACCCACTGGCCTATGGAATATACAGGGTTAAATGGAACGTACGAGTACCCAGCATGCTAGCAAACCCTGTCATATGTCACTGGCTCGACCGCTGCAGTTACTTCCTTCCATCGGTGTCCTGGCGCCGGCTGCAATGTCTGGAAAGTCCCAAAAGCCGCTTCCACCGCAGCGGCAGCGGGGAACTCCTAGGCAGAGGGGCATAATAATACAATGCTAGACTTTCAACGCTTGGGGCTGTCCGGGCTTCCTGCTACGAACACCTCTAAGTATCCGATGACTTCCTTCAACCCACTTCAGCGTCAACAAGCAGCAGCCACCCATGCTGGATAGCTTGTGCCAGGGGACGAAGACAGGGAAAAGCTCTCGTGGCACCTGGCGAGTTGTCAAACAAAGGTAAGGGGCGTTCGAGCGGGGCACATCTCGGCAACTTCGGCTTGCAGCCCGCCGCACCCTGAACAAGCAACGCAAAGAGCAAATTTCGCGGAAGCACGCCAGGCTTCAGCGGCGTAGTGGAATTGGGGAAAAGCTGTGCCACACAAGCGGGGTCGTTTGTCGAGAAGCTGTTCATCACCTTGGCTTGGGGAAACACTCTGAGAATGTTTCTTTGCTAGCCGCTGCTAGCCCACTGGAAAAGCTGAAACGACGTAGCTGACGAGCACCAGGATGTGACAGACTGAAATCCAGGTCAAGACACTGTCACGACTTCGCTCGCACCGGCGGCCACTGCCTGTGCGATCCCAGTGCCGTCGGAGTAGCCACCATCCTGGAGGCTCGGCTCTCCGGCTCGGGTTTTGGGGGTCTTTGGGATGTCCCCAAAAAGCAGCAGAGCTTTGCTTTTTGCCCAGGCATCCAGCAGAGCGTGCACGGCGCCGTGCGCAAACGCGCCCAGCGTGCTGGGGCTGACGTTGCCGCGCAGGCTCGCCTGGGCTGAGATCGGAGGCGAAGCCCGGCATAGCCCAGCCGCCTAGCCCCGGCAACCAGGAACGGTCCAACAGACAGGCTTCCCAAAAAGCCCAGCAGCGAGAAGGTGCTCGGCGTCACTGAAGAAGTCCTGCCCCTGATGGCTCGGGGATTACGAGATAACGAACTGAAGCACAGGACCTTCGGAGGCCGTTCAACATCGGCCACAGGCAAAGCTTAAGCCGCCTGGTCGCCGAGCCCAATCCACACGGCCACCTCAAAGATACAAAGCTCACTGTTCTGCCAGCTAAATCCGATCTGCTACAGTAGCAGAGCGAGCCTTGCACCATGATCACACAAGATCGTATTGCGACAGTAATCACCGAAAGCTCTTGGACTTCGCAGCCCACCTCCGCCTTCAGCAGGTTGGACATCTGGACAGGGAAGGGCCAGCATCTTTAGCTTTTGGGACCCTCGATTTCGGCTTCTGTCATCCAAGGCCAACCACCAACAAGTCGAATCCCTCCGTCGCCTCCGCGGCCACCACTCCGTCGATCAACTCAGAACCAAAGACAGCAGACGAGGCAGCGGCAGCCCTGCAAAAAGCACAAGCCCGTGTATGCGGGTCACGGTCATGATGTCATGCATGTCAAGAGCGGTTGCAGGGATGTCAGGCGGCCGTGTGGAATCTGTTCGTCTTCGAGACTTCGCCTACCACCGAGAGCAAGACATGCCTGGCAATCGGCAGGCGGCCACTGTTCTTCAGCAGGCTACCGTTGGTGCCGTCCTCCGGCGAGCGGGGAACGGAATCAAGGTAGCATCACTGGCCGAGAATTATCGTTTTGGGGAGCCTCTGGTTCCTCTCTCTGTCTTCCCGGTCGCTCCAAAAACCCTGTGCGATCCCGCCCGGCTGACCCACCTCACCCAAACAAAAGAACATAGCAAGCGCACATTCGCTCACCCCAGGCATACCTCTTGTTACCTCCTGGCCCACCCGTGGTCCAGTCGAACCGGCGGAGCTGAAATGGTGGTGTGGTCAAGGAGGTCAGACAACTGGTACTGGAACCTCAGAAGGTGCTTGTGGTGCAAAGAGATGTTAATGTATGCCAGCCTGCCACGATGCCCGGAACAGCATCGTATGTACAAACAAGTGCGAACAGCTCGTGTGCAGGCCGGGAAGCTGGAGCACAGCCTTGCGGGAGACAGCGCTTTCAACAGGCCACCAGTACGAGGCTTCTTGGGGCCAGGCATCTGGAAGCGCCATGTAGGGCAGCGGCGCGCTGCTCTGGACACCTCTTGGAGTCGCTAGCCGCGGGACGGAGCGGGACAGAGGTGGGAGGATTGAATCTCCTTCATGTCACAAGACCGCAGATTTCTTGGATGTCAGCACTCAGCACTCTTTCGGCTCATGGCTTGCGACGGGTATGTGGCCCAGCTGCCCGCACCCAGCGTCACGGAAAACCAGGCGGGGAGCATGGAGATTGGAGCCTGGACCTTTGCGATCTTCTGCAAGCGGATTCTGCAACACAACATGGAGAGCCTGTTTCAGAAAAGCTGTCAGGAATGAAAGACTTGCATGACATGAAAGATTGGACATCTGCCACAACGAAACCACAAGTTGCATTGTTTGGTGGGCTGGCTTGCCCTGCTTGCTTCAGCTGCTTGCGTGCCCATGCAGGCCGTGGCAGTTCTTGCGCTGCGGTTCCCACGCTTATGACAGGGGTTGGGTTGCAGTTTCAAGCCTGTGCGATGGAAGCCACCGCCGTTCTTGCAGTAGCTGCAGACGTCATGCGCGGAAACTCTATGTTCCCCCCGACTCCAGTGGCAAACACTTTGCTCTGCATTGCTCCGCATGCTGTCGCATTGCAGAAGCTATCAACCTGCAGCATCCTGCAGCGACATATAAATAACCACGCCTTCCGGCAATGAGCACCGAAATGAACACCCCGAACTTCCGAACCCAGAAGAGCAAGTCAGTGAGTCAGGTGGCATCGTAGCTCACACGCGAGAAGAGCCTTCCTCAGGACAGAAGCATGCAAGGCCCGATTCGACTGGTGCCCTCCGCTTCAGACGGGAACTTCGACCGCTAGCAAGGAGAATGCCCCGGACGTGGGGGGGGGGGGGGAAATGAGCCAGTATGTCCGCTGGCATGTCGCCTCGTCATCTTCATGCCCCAAAAGGCCCAACCCAATCTGCTCCAAGAAATGTAAGCTCCCAAAGGATCTACATCGGCCTTGTGCCACGGACCCACGCTGTCCAGATGTAGGCAGCCTGGGCTGGGGAAAGAGGGCGGCTTTTTGAGCTCTGGACCCCAACATTTACCTCAAATCGCAAGGCCGTGAGGTATAAATTGCGGTAGTATACAATTCAAAGCTTAAAGAGAAGAACCTTTATTGTAAGGAGCCCCATTACTCATCAGCTATTGCCTCCTACTTCGCATGGACAAGCTCGGGTGGTTTGGGTGCCCTATTTCAGGGACCGATTCCTTTCCTCACGGATTCCTGAACGCCCATGGGTCGGAGCAAACAAAAGACATCGCCCGGCAGCAGCAGCGAGTGATCCACCAGCCAAGTCTGAGCGAAAGCATTTCTACTCAGCTTCCCGCTTCATTTCTGAAGCTTGACAGAGCAACCATGCAAGGCATGTGGTTGATGCTTTCGGCTTTGGCCTCTGCAAGGGTCTCCACGGAAAATCAAAACGTCCCCACTCCCTACGTGCCTTCCCGGCAGCCCCTTTGCAGGCCAAAGTTGAGCCAAGCCTCTGTGAGAGGCACGAGCTGTGGATGAATCTCAATGTCCACCACTTCTTACTTTTGGATTGTTGGGGCAGGTGTCGTTACAATGCAAGGCTTTGGTCGAAACACTTGAAGCTGCCTTACTGTCCTCATTGTTGTGGCCACTCCTTGAGAGCATCCCACGACGCAACCCGGACTCTCTAAGGAAACACTTGTGTCACTTGTGCTGCTGCTCGGGCGCGGAAGCTCCGGGGAGATCCCCGCTGTCGAGTTCCTGGGCGCGACTGCCATGCCCGAAAGCCATGCCCGACTTAGTCCCAAGCGAACAAGCCACCTGAAAGGTGGAACGGTGGAACGAGCATTAACATTTCGATGTGCCAGATTTTCGGCTTCTGCGCCGAGCAGGACGTCTGAAGGAATGCGGGATCTTGACTCAAGGACGTTCACTCTCACAGAACTGGTAGACAACGACTGATGCCTCCAAGACGTCATGCCTTTTCGTCAGGCTTTCGGCATTTTGGAGCTTCCACCAAGCTTCAATTGCAGGGTTTTTCCAACTTCAAATAATATCTCCCCGTAGCACAACTGTGGTGGAGTGACCCAGTAATTATGCAGACAACTCGGCTTCTGGGGAAGCGAGGCTCTGGCAACTGGCGGCAGGATGGAAATGGGAAGCTCTGAACCCACGAAAACTTGTTCAGCTCAGTGTCAACAACACGTCCACGAAGTGGTTCCAAGTTAAGCCAGTCGCCAAGAAGAACTGCGCGAGAAATATCCTAAGCCAGAGAAACACCCACATCACACTCACGGTGCCCAGTCACCAGGAAAAAAATACTATAATACATCGACCCCGTCGCAGATCGGCATGGGTACTGTGCCAGGTCAGAAGGCAACCTTGCTGGGCTAGATTCGTGTCTTCATCGCCCGTGCCAAACATCAGCTTGACCAGCAGTCTCACCAGCGTCTGGAAACCGTCAAACCTGCTAAGTACAGGAGCGAGATCGGGGTGGTGAAGAGGCAGAGCTTCCTCTTGCGGCGCAGGACCATTCATCTACAAACCTCAAGCTGCCTGCCCCCGCGTGCAGTACACCAAGTCTTCCAAAGCCTGTAGACCATTCTCGAATCTTCATCTGTTAACCTGGCAAGGACATGTGGCTCTCAAGTCAGCGGGCGCCTCTTTTCATCCACTGCCGTGGCTGTGAGCCACGGCCGAATCCAGGACTCCTTGACGGCTTTGGTTTGTTTGCCGTGGCGCTGTGGTACTGTTCCTGTTCCGCAATAGCTATCCGGCTTACTCCCAATACAGACCATTGCTACTGTATGATGGGCACAACCATTCCCATCATTGCAGTGAATCCTCCTGTTGTTGCTGGAGCGACCTAGACCACGACGACGACCTCGACCACGAGGACCACGACGACCACAATGATAACCATCATCATCATCACCATCATCACCATCATCACCGTATCACCATCAACTCATGCACTATCGCATACCGTCGTCATAGTCATCGTCATTTTCCTCGAGTCCTGTTAATACTGTACAGCAGCAAGCCCACCATATGTGGCTTTTTGCCATTACCACCACGACCTCACCCGCTCTTCCGTCTCAGTTCATCGCTGGATTTGCCTGTCCGTTCGGAAATGTGGGCATGTAAGCCTCGCAGCTCAGGCTGCAGCGACTTCGTCCGAATGCTTACGCACATACTGGCCACGCATTCTCATCGGTATTCTAGATGTGAGTATATGTGAATGGACCCTTTGCTTGCAGCGGCAGCATGCCTCAACATAACTAGTATAGGTTGCGAAGTTGAAGCACGAACACCCGGGGAAACTTCGGGTCCACGTGGGAGTCTTGTCGAACAACAAACTGCTTCTTCTCATGAAACTCTTAATGGCTCGGCCCGCCAAAACTCAACGCTCACCTGGAACTTCGAAGCTGCCGAGGACGGGTCTGCCGCCATGCCTCCGATAGACAGTCTTCTCATAGAGAGCATCTTCTAGCACTCACAATAGGTATGTATGCATATGCATGTGTACAAGTACACCCGATCTACCGTGCGAGCGCTGCACGCAAGTAGTCGAAGCAGCTGTAGACATCTTCGGGCTCTAGCTGTAGCAATCCCTCATGCGTACGATTTCCACAACCGACGATATACAGGCTCAACAAGACTCAGGGCCTTCAATAGCGAACTGTCGGCGCCTGAAACACTCGAGGGAGCTAACTCTAGTCCGCAACCCCTGCTCATATAAACAAACGTCACAAACGTCAGTGTCTGAAGAACTCCAACCCTCCCCACGAACAGACACAGACGTCTCACCATGACCCACCAGACCTCGCAGCAGCTGCAGGAAGGACTCGGAGAAGAGCAGCTCTGAGCTAAACCTGGCAACGCCACTGTCACCATGTCGCTTCTGGGATTTATGGCTCCGTTTAGGGAGGTTCAAAGTCCAGGGCGATCTTGCTACAGGCGGTTTGGTGCTAAGGCAATGCTTCCGATGGCTCCAAAGGAAAAGATCCGAAGATTCACACGAAAGCCCTTCACCTTCCGCTTGCCATTCGGAGTGAGACAGGTTTTCCCGCCCCTTCCCAAGTGGAGGCACCAGGAAGAGCCGCTGACGCTGGAGAGCAGCTGGAAAGGTGCCAGGCAGTTCCCCACAGCCTGTCGAAGCTTGGGTGGAGAGCTTTGGGTGGGCGGAGTTTGTGGCTGAACTCGAACACTTCGGAACTTCGAGCTCACGTTCCTTGCCTGATCTGCCTCGCCCTCTGCCAGGCCCACAAAGAGCCCTGCATCCACAGCCACAGCACGGGCGCCGCCGCCCTCCGAGAAAAATTCTTATTTTGCCCTCCAGTCCTCTCACAAGAGACCCCCTTCACTGATACCGCAGTGACGACTCGCTCCCTCCGACTAGATAGAGATGGCATGAGGAGCTTGCAGCCACCTCCCTCTGCTCCCTCCTCCCTTGGTCCTTCCGTCTCTGCCCTTCGCTCCTGCAAAGCCAACGCTTTGAAGGCAGCCGCAGCCGGTAAAAGCGCTGCAAGCAAGCGAAGCATAGCCCCCTGGTGTAAGCCGCTCGCTTCTTACATTAAAGCGGGTTAGCTGGCATCCTTCATTGAAGGGCCGTCCCTTCACGCGAGGCTCCGGTCTGGCTTCCGAGGCTGCGGTTGCCTTGCTACACTCTCCGATTTGCTAGACTCAGGTTGTGTGCGTTTGGGATTCGTTCTTGGGCTTCCACACGGCTTTTTTCGATGCCCCAGGACTCAAGCCACTTCTGGCAGCTGCAAACACAAGCAGAGCTTTCATGCAAGCACTCAACTGACGTTCACAACAAGGCACCTTAAAAGGTAAACCCAAACAGCGCCTCTAAGTGGTACTGTACTACTGAACTTCCCTGCTACAAGAAACTTCCCTGTGCGCCGCAGATAGGAACATGCAGATGCATGTGTGGTCTCGCTGCACACTGGCGGACTCGATGTTGCGCCAGGCTTTCACCGAACAGCGTCACGGCAACTCGCCCGCCGCCCAGCCTCCATGACAGATTCCAACCATCCAGGGCTGTTCTGCGTGTCAAGCACAAAAGACTGCGCTCACCCTTCAGTCTACAGAAGCTACGCTACCAGTGAACTACTCCACCACGGTGCCTTCCCCCAGTACGACTTGTGACAAGCCCGACCCGGTCGAGATCCGTCCCGGTCCGGGGGCCAGGAGATTTCAGTAGTCCTGAAGCATTAGCCTCGGGCCATGCTAGGACTGCTAGAACACGTGGAATCGAAGCAAAAACGAAGTTGTCAGTTTCTGAAGAATGGTTTCCAAAAAAAACCTAGATGGCATTTTGTAGGGTCTTTAATGACTTTATGCAAGGACCTCTGAGAAAGACCTCGAGTTTTCAGAAACCGACTTCCGTATCAAACCGGGAGGGGTGCATGGGCTCGCGTCCTCACGCGACTCCGAACCCTCCCGACAGAAGCTGATAATATAGTATATATATATATATAATATACTACACTATATATAGTATACTATACTATGTAGTATACTATATAAACTATATAATATAATATAATATAATATAATATAATATAATATAATATAATATAATATAATATAATATAATATAATATAATATACTATATACTATAGTATACTATGCTATACTGCATGCGAGGTCAGCTCGGCGAAGGCAGCGTCCTCGGGTTGGCATCAGTCTTACAGAAGCCCTGGGCTTTGCGTGCGACTTTGGATGCGCGAGCAGGGAAGCTCCATGACCCTTCAACTCTTCCGTTTCGGAGGCCTTTGCCCCTAAACNNCCCCCCCCCCCCCCCCAATTCCCCAACCGATGCAGAAACCCGAAAACCAGAGTGCTTTCCAATGTCTGGCCCGCGGCTGTGCGGCTCAGCAACACCAGCACAGGCCTGCAGGCGGAGCAGGAGAGGAGAGAAACTGAAAGAGCGGGGAGCTGGACTCGTAGCTGAAGCTGATCCAGGAATTGATAGCCGTCTGGGCCCTCTGGGCGAACCCAAAGGTCGTCACCCCTGTACTGCAATCTCCGGAAGGCCCCTGAAGACCTGGCGAAGTCGCGGGAGCAGCCACTGCGCCCTGAGGGAGGCTCTCTCTGAATGTCCCGATCTTTGCTGGGCCCTTCGCTGAAAGCTTTGACCCTTCTCGCGCATCATATCCTGCCGCAGGGGTTTAGCAGTGCCGAGCCTCGATGCGAGGTGAAGAGTCAGGTCGGGTGCCTGGCGGTCGCACAAGCAGCTTCTGGGGGCTCGTTTCTCGTAGGGAAGCAAGCACCGGCCGTTTTGTAGGCAGCTGACCTACGACCTCCAAGCAGATCTGAAAAGCCTCCGAGCTCGAAGCTTTTGGGGGGAAAGCCCTCAAGATCTGCCTGGCGAGCTCTCAGCACCGTCGCCGTCGGCAGTCTGGCAAGACCAAACGCCGACACGACTTGAGCACTCTCGGACTTGCCGACTCTAGTAGAGCCAAACTCAGCGGTGACAGAAACAAGAAAAGGGTCCAAGAGAAAGCCCTGCCTTTACATCGCTGACATCGCCGCGGCTGTGGCCGTCCTGTGTGCTTCCAGCCTGCCGGGAACCCGCAAACAAAGCCCAACAGCAGGGGCCTGGAACGAAAGGCGATGCCAAGCGGCTCATAACCCGACAATGATAACCTCCCCGCAGGTCAGCCTCGGTGGAGCTCTTGCCTGTCGGCGTGGCCTCCTCCGTCGCCGCCTCCATCGCCGCGGCCTGCGACGCAAGACCATCGGAATAAACTCTCCCTCCACCAGTACCATGCTGCTAGGATCCCCAGTGCAATAGACACAGTGCGATGTTATGTTGCGCACCAAGAAATGGGGCCCCCCCCCTCCCCCCAGTCCTCAAAGGCCCCGGGCCCCGGGTGGCCTGGGCCTGGGCCTTCGGCGCCCGGAGCTCGGCCTCTGGCTGCAGCAGCGAGGCCACGGGGATGGGCACAGCGTCCTCCAGGAGCTCTGCTCTCCGAGAATTTTGAGGTTTTGAAGGATGGTCTGAAGGGCCTGCTTTGGAGTTTTTAGGCCCAAGGCGGGGCTCAAGGGACCCCAACGAAAAAAAACGGGAGCTCCCTGTGCAACTCGCGGCAGCGCTTCTCGACAGCATTCCGCCAGCGACGGAACTCGGAGGGCATCAGCAAAGTCCTTGGGCAAAAAAGAAACCGGGCACTGCACTCTTGTGTACAGCTTCGTCGTGACTTCGCTATAGTTTCTTGACTTTTCCATGGTCTCCGGGCCACAGAACCCACTTCGGGAGGAAGGGGATGTGCGGATCCACGGCCTGAGGGGCTCAGCATCTGAAACTTGGGCCGGGCTTGAAAAAAGAGATCGGGTCCCCGGCCGAAGTGGTGGTGAAGGTCACGCCCTTTCCGTCCGGGTCCTTCACAGCTTCGACTTCCAGCTCTTGGTTTGGGGTTCCGTTTGGGGTTTTGGCGTCAGGGTTTAGGAGGTAGATTCTCAGGCACTTTGCAAAGTGAAGGAGGCATGCACATGTACGAACAAAAGCCAGTCCTGCATGATGCAATAGGACGCGACGTACCTTGGGAGCAGATGTCTAGCCGGCAACGGCCCGACGCACAATTCGGAATTCTGCGCCGACTAGCGCAAATAACTCGAGGGAATGAACGCAACAGGCGAACTGCATCAAATCGGGTTATCAGTACAAATCGATCTCCTCTCCATCGAAAGATTTCGGATTGGCAACAGTCTTGGCACGACAGGAAACCCCGCTTTCGCAGGCCAGTGCTGGCAGTCTTCATTGAAGCGACGCTGTGTCGTCGACATTGCAGACACCCGTGCTGAAACTGCATGTAGGCCCTGTGCCCTTGCCCACAATCCTGAAGACCCAGGCCACGATGCTGTGTTGCTCTCACTGCCCGCGTCGGTGGACAAAGGCGGTTGCTGGCAGAGCGGGTGTAAAGCCTCGTAGGAATGTCCCCACGAGAGGTACCGGGTTTGTCCAGCTTTGGGACGTCGCTTCTGACCCAGGCTTGGCTTGGCCCTGGCATGTCGAGGCTTCTGACTTCATCAGCACCCGGGTTTCCCAAAACGTCCTTGAAACATGCGTGGAGTCGGACGACATCAACTTGAAAGCCAGGTTCGAATCCAAGAGCGGCTTACCAATGTGTGCCGGGAGGCATGATGCCACGACCAGTTTCCTGAGACCAGGATCGGACTGGAGATCTGAACAGCCCACCCTTTTGAAGCAAAGATCTGGGACATGGGAACACCAACTCGCGTGCTTCCCTTTCTGGGCCGGGTCTCATGTCGCAGAGTTGCGTGGTAGATCAAGAAGTCCTGGGTGGAACGCAGAGAAGAATTCCATGCGGGTTGTCATCAGGCAAGCAAAAAGGGGACAAAGCAAGTCCGAATGGTTTGCAAAAAGACTCGGAGACATCCAGCTCGTGTGAATTTTTGAAACGCCGACAGACATCTGCACGGCTGAAAATGAAGCAGCCCAGGCTCGCGATCTGTCAGCGGTGGCGCCTGAGGACTGCGAGGCTTTCGTGCGTTTGTTACGGATCCGTCGCTCGGCCGGGGAATCCCCGAGGCTGCTTCGGCACATGCGGGACTGCTTGAAAATACATGGAATCCTGGAAAACCGGCCTTGTTCATCCTATTTTCAAGCTTGATGCACTGGCGGACATATGGTGTCACCCAACACAAAGTCACTGCCCTCGGGCGCCGAGCGTGGAGGAGGGAGTAGAGGATGTCGTTAGAGGCCACATTGTACCTGAGCGTTCGGGAGCAATGCCGCCCGGCATAAGGCATCGGATTTCGGCGCGGCTTTTCGCTTTACCCTTCGCAAGGCGATACCACGAAGCTTTCAAACGGCAATATCCCCATACCGGGGTAGGTGTCAATAGAATATACTGACGAGCTTCTTTGGTGCCCACTAGGCCTTTTGGCTTGGAGACAGAACTCGGGAATCTCTTCTCCAATGAGCGGGCCTTCCACAGGTCACTGACCTGCCCTCGCTAAGCAAAGCGACGGCGGCTTAAGCTGCCCAAGCGTAATCCAAGCAAGAATTATCATAACGAGCCGATGCCCAATTTATACCCGGTATCCTTGAGACATCCATGAAAACGTCATTAACCGAGGGGCATCAGTCGAAAGCTGTCCATTTGCTTATCCCAGCCAGCTCGGTCAGCGAAGTTGCCAAAGCAGTGCGCTACCTGAGCATTACACTCGGAGAACTAGCTCGCAGGGTGCCCTCACAAGCTCAGACAGGCCAGCAGCCACGTGGAGCTGCAAAATCTCCCTCCACACTAACTACTTCCGATGCCAGATCAATATAGGGAAAGCATCTATGCCTTGTGCGGGCCCAAACCTCCGTAGTCTTGAGCCGGTTCTCATGCGCGGCGGTGGTATTGGAGATGCGCCCGACGAGCTTTACCTGAAGCTGACCGGAAATTTGTGGGGACTGCGCTGCCTGAAGCACGGATACCAGTGTCCAATCCTTGAGAATGAGGATCCCTGACCAAAGGACCAAAGTCCTGGACAAGTGAAAATGAACCCGTGGAACCTGGCTTTGGCCCAAGGCACAAAGACACTGCCATTGAAAAGGCTGCGATCGCGATGTCGCTGTATCTTGGATACATCAACTGCTGTGGAGGCCATTGGGTTTTCAGAGTCTGCGAACGAGCAGAAACCGCAAGTGAAGTGCGGCAACTCCCACCGCCCGATCCACTCCATGTTTGCTGCCGATCGACATGGATCTGTTCGTCCTTCACCAGCGTCTCCCAAACCTCGCAAAAGCCAAACAGAAGACTGTCTTTCACCGCAGCTCTGCCCCGGATTCACCCCCACGACCCGCTACACTCTCTGCCGTACACCCCAGCCCCAAGCCTCTTCTCCAGCGTTTGAAAGCTCCACCAGCCTGTCTGTTGCATTCTTGCCGCCATGAGAGTGGTGAATCTTGATCTTCTTTCTCTTCAGCCCAAGCAACTGCTCCACCTCCCGCGGCCTGATGACGCCCACCTGCACAAAAGATGCGCCACTGCTTCCCAAGCAAGGTTTCCGGACCCCCAAAGGTGTGGTGCCGAGTCGCATCCGACTCCGAGCCCAGGCGCTCCGACAGTGGCTGGTTCTCCTGGCAAGCGACTGGGACCCCCCCCTCCCCCGCGTTGCGAGACCGACGATTCAGCAGATTCGCCTACGAGTAAACACAACGAGGAGAACTCAACAAAGCTCGATTGCCCGATGCCAAATGCAAGCTGCCGAGCTCACTGACCGGAACCTCCTTGAAAGGGAGCTGGTCTAAGTGCTTCTGCACCACCTCCGCCTCCAAAAACTGGGTCCTGCGTGGTTTTCAAGCGACTTCGGGCCACGGGCAAAGATCCCCCAAGCAGCCTCGGGTTGCCGAAGACCTCCATGCCGCTGGGCTCCACAATCCACGGGCCGGCCTGGAGTAAGGTTTATAGGGTTTAGGGTTTTTTTTCCCTCAGCCATGGTTTTTTCCCTCCTTTAGGGTAAGGGGTTCATGGTCAAGGGTGTTGCCTTGCTGAAGCCCCCGCAGGCCCAAACAGTCTTGGCGATGAGCG